TAAGACTACAAAGGATACATAAAGAAATAATCTTTGGATAACAGGGTATTTTCTATTAGCTGAAATCTGCTACTGCTCCCTTGAAGTGTTTGAAAGAATTTTATATACAGCAACACACTTATTTGAATGAGGAATATCTCCTTTTATAACCTCTCAGGAGCTGAAGTGATCTTGAATAGCACTCTTCTCCAAATTACAGGAAAGGCAATTGGTCTCAATAGGTACATTCTGTGTTAGATATTGCTATCATGTATGCAGTACAACTAAGCTACTAAACTCAGACAGTTGTAAAAAGAGAGAGAATTGCATTTTGAAATTATCTTTTGAATGTCTATTTTATGGTTTGTTTTTCCATGATACAATTACTTTGATTTAGTAATTCACATTCAACTGTGATTGTCTTGATTTAGTAATTCAGATTAAGTGGTGATGGTATGCCTTGCATTCATTCCTAACTAAGATTGTGTCTGTAGCGACTGGTTACTCTTTCCTGTAATTTGGACAAGACCACAATTCAAGCTCGCGTTAACTCTATCAGCTCTTGAGAGGAGCTCTAAACCATTATAGTTTTACGCTTTGTATCTCTCTCCTTTTTATGAACTTTCTGAGTGTGTTTGCAAGTGTGTGGAGATGGGAACAATCCCTTAAGCTCATTTGTGTTGCTTGGCTTAAAAAAACAAACCAAACAAACAAACCCCCCACACCCAGGATGTATCCCTTCAGTGGAATAACCATCCTATCCTGAAGCTAAACAGTTTCAATATTTGCTTAAGAAACATTTGAGTCAAAATTGGCAATGGAATTGTCTTTACATATCCTGAAAACATTCTCCACATTTTGATACCTCAAAGCCACTTCTGTCAACTCTTTTTTCCAGAACAAAGTTATGAAGATTTTCTGTTCCTTTCCAGCTGTTCTAGCCTTTGCCAATAGAACAAGCTCTCTGATCTCCTTTCTCAGATTTTATTGAAGAATCTGTTAAAATTCTCAGCTGATAGGAGTTCTGAAGATGAACAAAGCCATAAACAACTTGAAGTTTGGTCTTCGAACCAGAACACCATGAAAATTCTGGATTAAATATGAGCTGCTAGGCTTAAAACTACTGGGCCCGTTAGCTCTCTAGTAGTAGCTACTGGGGCATCATTGTGTAGTGCAGGTAAAATAAAGCTGTGAATTGGTCTTTTCTTATGAATATAGTGTTACCTCGATGTAAAGTTTTGCCTGTCCTCTGGGGGAAAAAACACTGTAAATTAGTACTGCAAATAACTATGGCAATGAGAAGGAGTAATAACTACTTCTCAGTGTATGTCAGCTGTTAGTAGAGAACAGTGATCACTTCAATGTAACTGGATTAGAACTGACATGACAGATCTTTTTATTTTAGACATGATGATGTCAGGTAGCTGTTTCTTGCTTGTCTACTTCTTTCATTTTGTTATTCTTGCACTCACAAAAAAGTGGGATGTTTCAGGCTAAGAGGTTTGAGCCTTTTTCAGCTTTGGATTTGCCTGAGCTCATGTGCAAACAGACAGTTTTTCTTTCATCATATGCTCCCTGACTGCAGCTACAATTTTAGTAACTACCCTAAACTTTGTGTGCTGATAGAAACGTTTAGCAAAGTTTTTAAATCTGAAATTCATGTAAGTGTGTATACTGCTGTGTGATCTTTGCCCTGCTGGAATCGTTAGTAATTTCACCTTCCTGGAAATTACAAGGTAGCAACGTTTTTTGAGGTCACATGGTGCTACAAGCTGTACGTTGACAGTTAACCATCCTTCATCTACATTGCATCCCATCCCAGGTAGCAGGATTGAGTATTTTGTGTGACTCTGGTTTTAGACACTGGAAAGTATTTTCATGTTTCAGTGTTGACACACAGTCAAGTCAAATTCAGTTTGCTGCCCTCAGGAGAGATAACAGCAAAGATTTAGGGAGTCCTAAAACAAGACGTAAATAGATGTCTTGATGGAAGTTGATAGGAATGCTGTTTAGGGGCAAAAAGAATGTTTTGCTGTGTTATATTCGGACGAAACATGGGAAGATGGTGTTCAAGAAAAGAACTGTACAAAACTGGGACAGTTGGCAGAGTTTAAACCACATGCCCTTTTGATGAGCTCTACAGGATAGCAGTAGGGTATGCCAAAACTTCATCTTGGCTATGGCTGATAATCAAGAGGATGCTGAGGATCATGCACTTGATGACTTCTCGTGCAGAATTGTGCCAGTCTGGACACCTACAATACACAGATGCCCAAATCCTTATAAAGATGATTTAGACAGACAGTTGCTGTCCCCAAGCCCAGACAGATTTCCATTCTTTAACACATAGGCTCTCAGAAGCACTGCAGAAGGGTTGGTAAGCACAACCATTTGCCCTAATTAAGTTATTGATACTCTCTACTGTGATAAATAATGGTATTTTCTTCCTCCTTTGAGACCATCTGCCATCAACTTGTGGTTATGAGGGTTAGTCTCCTTTTCATATCCTTGCTAACTTACCTACCGTGTGATCGAAATAGCTGCCACCTTTGGCAAGAATACAGCAGTGAATGTGCCAGATAAAGGTCTCCACCCTCTCTTCCCTGGCGGCTTTTCCATCTTTCCAATAGAAGCTCTTTCCTGCTCTCCCTGACAGCTTAATTGCTGCCTCTCCGTTCTCAGGGCACATACATTTATCATGTCTTACTTTCATATCTTGACTAGATCTGAATCTGTAGTTCTATTATCAAATAAATTTTGCTTTCTTTATTAAAATGTTAACTCAGTCCAAAGCTTAGAAAACTTTTTGTTTAGACTTATGTGTAAAGCCTTAGCTCCTCTTTTTTTATCAGTGATTCCTTTACTAAGGTTGTCTTTTTCTTAGTTCAAATCTATTAAAACAAAACAGCACAGGAAGAAGCAGGCTTTGATAACAGGGAAAACACCAGTTTCTGTATGCCTGTAGTTATTTGTATGTGGCACCAAAACCTTCAAAGTGACTGAAATTGAATTTTGGATTCAGATAGCACTCAAAAAGAGTCCTGTCACTGAAAGATAGTGTTACCTTTTTCCTGGTTTCCAGATAGATGTTTTATTCCTTTCCTGAAGTAGGGAATACCAGAGGGAATAATGTTGGCAAGTAACAGTAAGATGTATTCCTGTGGCATTTATAAGTGAGGTGTTTGGTTTAGTTTTTTCCTGTTTCATCATAAAAATTGGAGACATGCCCTCCTATGTTCTGACTGCCTTCAAAAGTGGGACCGTAATCACTAATCTGATCTTCTCAGGTTGTACTGTTCTTATCCTGGTCACTCCCTCCATGTTCATGTCATCTGTCCAATATGATGTGGATTATTTATTGTCTTACCTCAAAAACAAATGTAGTACAGCAGTCCTGCATGTTAATATTAAATAATAATTAATTAATGTATACTTATTGCATGCCCTGGGTAGCAAATTATAAGGAGCTCCCTATTCTAACAGCTTTAATGAGGTATGGAAGTGCCTCATTTATAAGCTTAAAACGTGGAGAAAGGGAGGAAAGAATTAATCCCTGAAGTCTTTCATTCTGTTAACAGTAAAACTGTTTCTTTGAAGAACCTGTACCTGAAGTGTGCCACTAACCACTGCCTACTACTTGTGGGTAAACTCAAAAGATTTCATGGTGTCCAGTGAAGCATGATATCCAGAAATAAAGCTTGTCTGTTCATATCATCAGCAGTGGAAGCTTTCTGCCTGCCAACAAACAGTGGTGGTGGTGTAGGCAACAGAAAAGTTCTGTTCCACTTTGAGAAACACCTCCCGTTCCTGTGTTCTTTCTAACAAATTCCTCAGACTTGGTGCTTCATTTGTGTTGGTTTGAGGTTTTTTTCCCCTTCCGTTATTTGTCTTCTGCATCCTTATAGATGTAGCTCCAGTTAAAAAGATTCCGTTGTGGGGAAAAGTTTTCCATGTGGCAATGAAGAGTGATCAACGGGAACCAGATTCCTTTGAATACCTCCAAGGACAACTGGTTGCTTGCTGTATGGCTATGAATAGGAAAACTTAGGCCAACAAGTCATTAAATGTTGCACTAAAAGCCTTAAAAATAACGAAATAAAATCTGGAGTTGGTCTTTGTCCTCTAACTGAAACCATAGCTATGTATGGTATTTGCATAGTATATTACATGTTTTCACTTCTAGGACAAGGAGGAGTTTCATCTAATAGCCAAGTGTGTTCCAATACACGGATGGCTCATACTATATGGTTTTTAATTCCTAGGAAATACATGTAACGTTTGTAACAAATCCATATATTAGCACTGAACTAATTTTTGTACCATAATACATCCTTGTAGGTATTATGTAGGCAAAAGCCTATGTACCAGACACAGCACAGAGCTGAGGATTATTCCACCTGGCAAGTACCGCTAATGCACAGAACATTATGAATTCACATTCTTCATTATGCTTAAAATTAATAAAGTTGCAGCAATAATACAGATTAAAAAATCATGTTCTGTATGTGTGTTTTCCTGAAAGAAAATGTATCAGGTATCTTGTGATATATACATACAAGTATAGAAGAAGTTCCTGAAAATACATTCCTTCCTGTTAGAAGAATGCACCACACTCAAAAGTCTTTTAAAAAGTAAAGATACCTGGAGAAAGAGATCATCGTCAGCCATTTTAATATAGGACAAGCAGAGTTTCTCAGAATGTAAGGAATGCTGACTCTGCCAGTAAATTGACCTTTTTAATAGAGGGAGCGAGAAAGAATTCCTAAAAGGTCTAGCATTGTTTATTTTTGTTACATTCATGTAGGTGGTTGTTTTGGTGGTCAACAAGGTCTTTGCACAGCTGAGAATTTTTTCTGCTTATTAAGAAACAACTGGTAGGTGGCAAGTAAGAGTACTGAGTCTGCTCATTAGCCCAAGGCAGTCAGGGAATCCCAGGCTTAAAAACTATTGCAGCCTCCAGAGGTTTGATGCTTTACAACAATGGTTTCAGCATCTCATTACTGGCAGATGCAGCCTTAAAGCTGAACTGTCCAGAGAAAACTGATTAGCATCTGAACAAAACCAATCCATGTAGTAATCTTCTGAGGCTGCTTTCCAGCACTCTGTGTAGAGACACAAGTATTGCTACAAGCTTTGGAGTTTTGAAGATGTACGTATTATTTCAGCATAATGAGGTTAAGTATCCACTGCAGGTTATCATAAATGTCCTGCGCAGTGGTCACCAATAGCCACTGTCTTTCCTGAACCTTGAATGGATAGAAGTAAAGCATTACAAGATTAGATTGCTGCTATAGCGTGATTAATCTTTTCATCTCTTCTTTGTCTGCGTTTTCATACCCTTCTTCATGTAACCCCCCATGACCCTGAGGAAATAGCAGGCACTTAAAGGCTGGCACATCAGGTCCATCATCACAAGCCTCTGCATTACTCACAACTACCAGCACTTTTGGTAGCTGTGCACAGAGCACTTTTTCATCCTTAGTGATGTGTTAAGAGTTTCAAACTGACAGTGGTTGTGCAAAGAAGTGTTCACTACAGAATGGCAAGAAAGGACTTGAAGAGCTTTCAAGAGTCCAACTTACCTGTGATGACAAGATGTGGGATGCTGGGGCTTTCTGCAAACTTCTGATAAATACCGAACCACTGTTGAGGAAAGTTACATTTACGTAGGTGCATAGGGGTACATAGTGGGCTAAAAAGTAGGTACCTGAATACATACCATAAATGGATGCTGATTCGTATAAGGTAGTTATAGTGAACCACCTCATTTAAAACTAATCTTTCTCTTCACCTTTTTCCTCAAAGGTAGCAAGTCCTTGGAGGCTACATGAAAGAGTTATTTTGTCTTTTGTGTCAGCTTGAGAAGTTCTTATCTGGAAAATGTTGTATGCTCTGCATATTGTTAAACATCATATATGATTTGTCTGTTCTTCTAATAGCTGAACTCTGCTATGTTAGAAACATGGATGTGTGTTCGGAGCATCTTCAACTCATTTTCTTTGAACTAGAATGTTTATATAGGCAAGCTTTCACCTTACTTCATCTCAAAAAGAATGGCCATTACTGAATGTTTGTAAGGCTGTTTAAAATATAATACTGTATGTTATATATATATAGTTTATTTCTACATATAACATGTTTATCTATAAACATATTTTTAAATACTAGAAAGCATCAAAAGAAAATCCATGATGACTCCAGGAGCATTATGATGCAGCTTCAGAGCTTGTCTGGAAAACACCTTCTCTAGTTAAACTTAGAGGTCGTTTTAGTTTCTGGTTTTCAGTTTGTTTTGGTTTTTCTCCTCTCTTTTTGCATGCTAAGAGAAGTCAGGGATAGAGGAATTTGTATCCCCTTTCCGAATGTTATTGGTCGGGACTAACTTCAATCTGTAATCAAAACCATCTTCTCAGCAGAAGAACAGTTAGATCCTTCTCTCCTTCTTAGTGGCTGGTTGATTTAACTGCTTGCTTCTTTTGAGCTCAGTAATACACATTACCACAGTAACACAGCTATTTTATTTCATCTGCTAGCATGAGAGGAAGTTTATGAACAATAAAAAAGCTAAATACAATCAAGGGCCTCATCCAACTCCCAGGTATCGGATTCTATGCTCATCTGTAACCACAGAGGCTATGGTCAGACATCTCCATGTGCTAAAGATGTTACCATCTCAGGCTTGCTGGCGGCAGATGGAGATTCCCTGCATCTCGCTGTAGAAATCGCGAGTCCTAATTTAGCCACGGTCAGTTAGTTTGCCTAAATATCTGAAGAAGGTGATTTGCCTGAAGTTCACTAGAGAAAACTAATATAATCCCTTTTACCACAGAAATGATTACCTCCAAGAGAGGGGCAGCTGTTTACAAAGTGCATATGTGTTCACAACCTATTTCTTCTCATGCTTTGCAAATGAAATAAAGTAAATGGAAAGTTTTATGGCTTCAGTAGTAGCTGGATCAGGTAAGAAATAAATTAGTATACTTATTTGTGTTCTGTTTTGGTCTTTATCTTGGAAAACATGTATGTATCGTTCTGCAGTGAATACTTTCTTAACCGTAATGTAGAAAACCAAATTCTGGAGTAAAGATTTTTTCACTTGTTCTTGTTTATACCTGTTTTAACTATTACACTATATATACATGTGTGTATCTATACATGTTTGTGTCTGTATGTATATTGATTTCTTATGTCTGAAAGAAATCAGTATATTCCTGTTTCTTCGAGTTGGTTAAGTTATTCCTTCCTGTATATTTTCACATACATGTTCAATTAAAAGCTGTGTGGCTTCCTTTGTTTAATAAGAACATAAATTTTCAGTTGGGCTTTTTGAATTAGGAAATCCAAAACGCAATTTGGCGCTATGATGTTAAATTGTTAAACTGGAATGAAATCTTTGGTCTTAATAGCTGTAAATCTTTTTTGAAAAGTCAGCTTATTCTACTCTGTTTTTCCAAGTGAAACAACTGGTAAACAAAAATGTATTTTTAAAGTGGAAATACTTTCAAGCTAGATGAATTCTGAAAGTGTACATTACTCATTTAAGTATAGTATTTTTTTTGACCTTAAAACTTTTATTCCTTCACTTATTCCCTAGCTATTGTCTCGTCACTTGAGTCTCAATTTGAAAACTCCATAGAAATCTGTACAGGAATACAGGGGTTTTTTATTTTTTTTAACCCAAACAAATAAATTTAAAATGGAACCTGACGATTTTAAGAAAGTAATTGTATGTATTTGCTTACAGTAAAAGGATACTGGTATGAGTGATTCAGAACATCAGTGTAAGTTCCAGCAAATATATACCATCTAATGATGTGTGACACTTGTCAGAATACCAACTCTGTACTGAAATCTCTGTAACTTATTCATGTGCTTAAATATTTACATGGACAAAAATAGGTATTGGCACGTGCTTGTATTCTTCCCTTTAGCAGGCGAGCCTGCTTGGAGAAACTGCTGTTGCTGTAATTGGCTCAACTAAAGTCTGTGGAGAAGACATGCTGGAAGCGTACTTCTTGGTGTCTTTATGAAGTCTCGTGCCAGCACTTGCCTGGATGTCCTTAGTGATAGGAAAAACTTTCAGCATATATTTATGTGAAAATTTTAATGGAAGTTTAACATAAAGTTATATTTTAATCTGATTTTTTTGATCTTTCTAAGATATAGGGTAACTATTTTTATATAATTCCATTACTGTGAGAATTATTTTTTAAATATGTTTCTAGGCTCTGTTTTTATAGCCTGGAAGCACAGGTTTGTTTCCCCCATGCAGGATATTAAAAAAAAAACAACAAAAAACCCGCAAAAAAATGAAGGATGTGTAAGCCTCTGATTTATTTTTTTTTTTCATCATTAATAGTATAATGTAATGTTTGTACTGGGAATTGGAGCTAGCCATTGTTTTGTGGATTAAATATGGTATCCTTTAAACAGGAGTTCTTTTGTTTTTTCTTGCTCTAAAAATGTCTGTGAGTTCATGTTAATTTATATGATAACCACAGAATTAAAACTACTGATAATAAAAAAGCTTTTTGGGAGCCTGTAGTAAAATGCTGGATGCTCATGCTTCATACAATGTGCTTTGTAGGAGGATGTTACTATTTCCAGCTTCCTAAAGATTTGCATGATGCAATCGCTCTGCACTTTGTGTCCTGACAATTTTTTTTTAACAGCTTTGAGACCCATTAGATTTAACTAGGCAAATTAAAAACAAACCAAAGCTACATCCATTTTATTAACTAAACTTTTGAAAGTTACGAAGTAACAGTTTTGTTAAGTGTGGTGTTTCTCTTCTGTTTACCAGTTGAGTGTTGCCCCATTGTTTTAAGCAGATGTAGAAAAGGAGACATCTTTTAGTAGAGTTATCAGGAAAACTTCTTTAATTTGTTTTATCGGTACAAAAATTATGTTAGCAAGCTCTTTAATGAACTTCAAAAAATTTTTTTTCAGCTTACAGAGCACAGAGAGATTCGTAATACGTATGGTCTAGATTCCCTTTGCCATTGCCCGTTGTATGAAGAAGCTATGCACTTAGCAGAAGAAGGCAAAATTTATTCACGAGTGTTAAGGTATTGCTTTATGTCTACTTAATTATTTGCAAGAAAAGCAAGAATTAAAGTGAAGTATTCTATATAGAACTCATTTTTTAGAAGTTACTTGCACTAGGCGTTTTTTCTAGGGATTAGTTGATTTTTCTTGTGCTTCTTTTTTTAATGGTCTTTGCAAACTTTTCTGTTTTACATAGGACTGAAATGTTTGAATGTCTAGGAGACAGTGACTTCCTTGCTAAGCTTCACTGTATTCGACAAGCTTTTCAGGTAAATAGTAAGGAGAGTGCTTTGTCTGTCTTGTTAAGCCTAAAGTACGTGGTGTTGAAACTATCAATGCCACTACCTGTGCAACCATTTTTATAACATATTCTGTAATTAAATATTTTCTTGTTGCTTTTACAATTCTGTAATTCTAAAATGGGACATATTTGCAGAGGAGTCCCAGTTTTGTGATTAGCTTTGGGAGCTGTGCGCCAACGGCTTGTTAGGAACTTGCCTACTGTATTAGTGGTTATAATTATACTAAATTTGATAGAAGTGTTTAAGGTCACTTAGTATAACCTGTGAATGAATATGTCTATATTTTCTGAAACCTTTTCTAGATAATTCTTTCAGAAACAGCAAACAGAATATGAATGAATATGTCTATATTTTGAATGAATATGTCTATATTTGTGAATATGTCTATATTTTCTGAAACCTTTTCTAGATAATTCTTTCAGAAACAGCAAACAGAATATTTCTTGCTGAAAGTGGAAGAAAAATTTTGTCTGCTTTAATTGTGAGAGCACGAAAGGTAAAAGCCTTTTTTAACTAATGTTTTATTGTTAATGTAAATTCTACCAGAATTCAGTTTCCAGTGTAAATTAACCATCTCTCTTGTTAAGTTTGCTTGATACTCGTTGCTTTTACTTTACAGAATCCAAAGAAATTTGAAGATGTCTTTGATGAAATGATATATTTTTTGGAGCAAACAGATCACTGGGATAATACTGAAATGGAACTTGCTGCTAGAGGAGTGAGTCTGAATTTCTGAAAAGTGCTTTTACCCTTAATTATGCAAACTGTAGCATCTAAAAATAACTTTTTACAGTTCAGAATTGTGGGAAAGGCAACTCTTTTTGTTTACTTTGCCGATTTAGAGAACTGGCATCCACCACTGCAGTTTAGTACCAGAAAGCACGTGATGTTTTTTTTAACTTTTCATTTACTGACAAAGTATCTTTAATATTCATTAAAAATAATTATAAATCTGCATGTTAGTACAGAGTTAGAATATGGTGCGTGCTGAATTCCATTGCTGAAAGCGAAACTAGGTTACTTAGATCATGTTCTGATTTAATATAGGTGAAAAACCTGAATTTTTATGACGTTGTTCTGGACTTCATATTAATGGATTCATTTGAAGATTTAGAAAATCCACCAATATCTATACAGAATGTAGTAAATAATCGCTGGCTAAATTCCTCTTTCAAAGAAACAGTAAGTATTTATGTCTAATTTTCATAATCGTTTTTCTGTAGTACGTTACAATACGTAGATGGTATGATCAATATAACATTGGTGTGAGCATTCTCATATCAAATTTCTGTATGTGCTGAAACTATTCTTCCAGCGATCTGTGCTTTATATTCTTAAAGCACAATGTAAAAATGAGAATAAATCCAACAACTGCAGGATAAAGACTGTATATATTGTCTTGATAATAGCATTAATATTGAAGCAGAGAAACAACACCATCCTTCATTATAAAGTCTAATTCAGCTTCCATATAACTGAATATATACCTGAAATATTTCTCAGAAAAAAATAACTGATTGTATTATCAGGTTTTTCATGATAGCAATTTAAAAGCTACAAGTCTGGGCCCAAAATAAATAGAATGATTGAATGTATGGCAGAAAACAATTTAACTGGAAAAAATTAGTTTTCTCTGGGGAAGTAGAATCTTAGAAGGGAAGTTTCTGTTAGCCACATCTTAGATATTAGATAAAGTTTTTGGTTCATAGACCAGAGATCTAGCAATAAGGAACAAAGTTGCAAGCAAACAAAAGTAAATTAATACAATACAGGCATTAAAACGTTGATAACGTTTCATGCTTTTTCAGATGTGCCTGTTTATTTGTCAAATAGATCTCATCCCTCTGTTACAGACATACAGGCTACTGCCATGGTCAGCTGGTAGAGACACTACTGTCATTTCATCCATTCATATCTATAAAAAGCTAGTTTTCCTTTTATTTTTGTCTTTCAATTGAAATATTCCCTTTAGAAGGATAAAAAGAAAAAGTAACGTGTATATTAATTTTTGTAGTTATGTGATAACATTGTGTTTTGTGAGTAGTAAATGATTTTGCAGTCTTGAAGGAGAATCGGGCGAGGATGGTTACAAGGTATGAGGGGAAGGAGCCGAGTGGTATATTGGATTTCACAGGTCCATATTTGGACAAAACTCCTTTGCTGAATCTGAAGCTATTGCAAGAATGTTTTTGCTGAAATGAAAAGAGACATTTCAGTGTGTTCACATGCTATTTAATATCTAAAATAGTTACTTATGTCTGAGCACACACTTTGGTGTCTGTAAGAGACTGGTCTTCAGTTAAAACCAGTGAAAGTTGCTAACAGTTGCAGCTGCAAAATCAGTCAGGAATGGCAAATTACAAAGAAAGTGTTGCAAAATAAGATCTGAAAATAACAAATATGAAGTACATATAAAATTAGTTATTTGTATAAGCTGATATTTTATAGTTTTAAACTTTGTATTGTCACAAGATTGAAACTCAAGAAAAAGCAAATCCCCAAAATATAGAAATACAGTAGTCTGCAGATCACTTCTTTCAAGCTGAAAGATAATTTCTCTTATAATGAAGTTACGCAGGGTTTGGGGCTTTTTGTTTTGTTTTGTTTTTAACATTTAGGCTGTGGCTTCAAGCTGTTGGTCAGTACTGAAGCAGAAAAGACAGCAAATGAAGGTAAGTTGCCTTCCAAATTATGTGGACTGAAGTTACTGATCAGCTCCCAAGAATTTGAAGTTCTGTCCTGTAGCTTTGGCAAAATAAATTACAGATCAACCCTTAGTCCTGTAGACGAGAGGCTGCCAATTGTATAAGTTCAGCTCATGGGGCCTTAATATCAGTTTTTTAGCAAGAAGTTTTAGCTGAAAGATTTTCAGCCTAGTTTAGATCCAGTGAACAGTGGTCACAGTAATTTCTTTGACTTATGGCCCACACACGGACCTTAGATTTTCGCAGACCAAGGTCACTAATCTTGTATCATCTCGCCTGCTTATGTTAGGGTTCTCAACCCCATCTCCCTGTATCCTCCACAGCTAAGTAAAATTCAGTCCTGTCTCTTTACCTCCCTGAAGCACCCTCTTGCTCACGAGCAGCAGGAACTCTGTTGCCGCCTCCTTCTGCCCCCTTTTGCATCCTGGCCTCTCACTGAAGGAACTCAGCAGATTTCAAGGTAGCACTCCTCTGTGCCGGCAGCTCCTTACTTCGACCTTTGGAGGCTTTTGTTAGACCTAGGAGGCAAATGTCCCATCTCTGTAGCAAGTCCAAAAGCAGAGTTGAGGCTTGCTGCAGGACACCCATAGCCATTAGGATGGGTTTTGCACACCACGGGTGAGGAACCTCTGCTCCAGTGATTGGTGCTGACACCTTCCTCTGATCCTAAGAATAGCTATTTACATCACTCCTCACTGCTAAAGAAGACATATTTAATTGTAAAAAAAAGTTGCTTCCAATGGAAGTTGGTATTTTGTAAAAGGTCTTCAGCTACTGTTATGTCTTAAGACTTGATGTTTCATCCCTGTGCCAATATGGTTGGGAATGTTATATAAATAGATCTTTTCTATGCTAGTTTTATATGAAGGGATTGTATCTCCAAAATAGATGTTGTATTAACCTATTATTTTAATCTCTATTTCAATGCACAACTACCTTACTCTGTAGTTCCTTTGTCTGCTTAAGTTTCATTATTTATAAGTTCGTAAATATGTGAGTAACTCTACTCCTTGGGACCAGTTTCATCAGCGCTGCTGGAGTTGTTCAAAAGGGGGTGAAGTTGAGCGCCATGGAAGGCTTTGTAACGGACAGACTAACTGTACTGAAAGGAGTTTGATGAACTTAAGTTTACTTACAGGCAGTTCTTTATGTGGTATTTTATATTTTAATTTATTATTCGTTTCTATTTTTATTATTTTAACAAATTAACTACTGTTGTAAAATTAAAAATATATGTTTATGAGTATATAAAATAAACTGTACATTCATATATGATATATAAATTTACACTATATTATATTTTGTGACTGCCTGTAGGTTGTAAAAGTAACAACAGGATGGACATTTACTGATATTTTATGTCTTTCTTTAGACTTACAGATGGATTCTTGTCAGGTGTAGGTTTTTTCGATTCAAAACTGTGTAGTTGCTTACTTTTTTGCAAGTTTCAGCTATACATAGTGTATAGGGGCTCAAACAGGAATAACTGAATAAAATTGTCTGTTCTGTCATATGTGAGTCAAAGTAGATCGTTCATGGTCTTTTTGGGCTTATGCATATTAATCTTAAAATATTTAAAATACAAAGTACCACTGAAGTAAAAACCTTTTCTAAAAAAAACATGACACTTGTTTGTACAGTTGCCCTGTGACTTAAAGAAGTTAAAGTTACCACAGCCCTGAAGTAGTAGGTGTGTTAGGCCTTTCTGAAGACTTAATTTTATGTGTAACTTTTGTCTATACTTTTTACATCACTAGGTACCTGATGGATTTTTTGCACATTTCTATGCCATATGTGAACATATCAGCCCTGTTTTGGCATGGGGCTTCTTAGGCCCTAGAAATTCCCTTTATGACCTATGCTGCTTCTTCAAGGTTGGCAACCTTTTTTATATTACCACTTATCATAATTTAAAAAAAAAAACAAACAACAATCTTCCAGATTAGAATATATTAGGATCTTATTTATAGGCACCCATTTGCATTTTCCTAAAATTAAGACTAACATTAAGAAACCATGAAAATAAGTATTTCCTTATTAAATTTTTTTAGAACTAGAACTGTTTTGCAAAGCCTATTTTAGTGCATTTCTATCTTAGCACAAAAGAATACATAAATGCATGTTTTTAGGAAATGTGTAAAAGAAATACCATTGCATACTTTTTTCCTTCTTGTAAGCGAATACAAGGTTTTCTTTTTTTTTTCCTTCTACTAGGATCAAGTGCTTTTCTTCCTCAAAGACATTTTTGATTTTGAAAAGGTGAGATACTCAACCATGGAGAGTTTGGCTGAAGACCTTATGCAATTATTAATCCGACACACTGAACTTTTAATGGCCTATCTTGGAGCAGAGTCCCTAAGACACGTCAGTTCTTGCGTGAGTGGTCATGAGCATGTCATGACCAGTGGGCTCCTGGAAGCAAAAGTACAGTAAGCTTAAAGTCCGTGACAAATGAAATGGAGTGCGCTTTGACGTACTCCTTCCCACCTTTCTCTCTAACCCCGAAGCTATCGTTGCTGTTGCTGAACAAGCATCTGAAAATGTATCATGTCACTAAGTATGGAAAAGGACTCAGGGAGGTTAAATGTACATCTGCGAAAAGAACTGGTGAGCATATTATTGTATATACCTAAATTAAATTTGCAGCTCAGCTGTCACTGTATTTATACTTAATGTATCCCAAAGCTTTTTTCTGTAATATTTGGGTAAAGTTTATTTATGAAATACTGTACTTTTGCACAGATAATTTTTAAGTGAAGCTGATGGAGTTGTTTCCTTTAAAGGCTTAGAGTACAACATGTTCATTACAGAGTCTCCAAATCATTGTGTGTCTAGATCTAGGAGGTGTTTTGACTGGGGTATGTGCAGTCTCTGATTCATGTGACACGTGCAATAAAGTAATCACACTTACAAAACTGAACATGTTGCCACTGCCCTGAAGTTACATTTCTGAGGGTGTAAGCAGTCGTTTTGTAATACAGTGTAAGAGAGTGATGCAGGAAATGCAGGAATGACTTCCAGTGTGCATTTTTTACTTTATTTTTTTTTAAGTGTCTAAACATCATGAAGGTGTTTGAGAGCACTTATGTATATTCAAAAAGCTATGCTAGCTTCATCAATTAATTTAAAACTTTTCCTTTTTCTAAAACTGTTGCTACTTTATATTGTGGTGGTAAATAAACTAATACCATTCTCAGTTCATATGTAGCATTTCAAAATATATTTTTAAATAAGAATGTATGATGAGATTTGTTAATAGTGAAACAGAGTCAAGGCAGTGTTTTATAATTAAAAGCATTTCCATCTTCCTCCCTTCCTTGTAGGAAGTCAGGTGTCTATTTAAGAGGAAATTTAAGCACTTGTGGCCGTCTATGTGCAACGCAAAACTGTGGCTCAGGATATGGAACCCTGAACTTTAGATAGTAGCACGGCACAGTAAGGAGGCATGAGGGAACGTGCAGTAACGGTTCTTCCTGCGCTGAGGGTAATAAATAATGACGATCTACAATCTTTGAATTTCTGTAAACTGAAACAATGTTTCATAGTTAGCTTAGGCTTTTAAACTAGACTAACATATGCTTTGCCACACGAAGCCAGCCCACAAGAACCTATCCTGTGTCAAGTAATACAGAGTAAGTAATTACAGAGTAATTCTAAATATTCAAACACTTGAGAAGCATGTTGTTAAAATCTAGCATATTTAAACAAACTTTGATTAGAAACATTTCAACTTTTGTTGCAAATGCAACCCAAAACAATGATATTTGAAGAGGAGGGCCTATGTAATTCCATAGACTTTACTGAAGCTGACATTTTGCTCCTTTGTTGAATAAATTGTTGCTCCTTTTGTTGAATAAATACGCATTTGAATAAATACAAAAATGATGAAAATGTGTCATATGATTTGTGTGAAATGCCAACTGATTATAGTTTATTAAAAATAAAAGGTATACTTCTATGTGTAATAAAACAGTAATTCCAAATGCTGCTGTTGGCCTATTTCCACCGTTCAAGTTGCTGAACTTCGCTCTATGCTATAATTTTTTTCTCCACAGAGTATGTCTTCACCCATCTCACTTAGCTTAAACATACTTATGTCCCCCATCATGCTGCTCAAAAGTATCTATATTTTGGCAGCTTTTTGCAAGCCTATGAATGAAATTATGTGCAACAGTAAGGTGTCTCGTTGGGTTCAGAATTAATAGGAATAGCTGGAAACAGAAGTAACAGAGTAAATGTCATGTTCCACAGCGACTGTACTACCCGGAGGTTGCAGTGTGTCAAAGGAAACTCTGCTGTGGTTTGTCTGGTCTAATAAAATGGTATGAAGAAAATGAAATCTTAACATTCGTCACAGATAAACAGAAATACAGTTTTTCCCAGAAGTAAATGTATATTTAAGTGATTGATTTTCATATTATTTATAAAAAGCTCTTGAAGAAAGTGTAACAGTGCTGCACATGAGATTATAGATGTTTCCAGATAGTTTAAAAGTCACTCTTCTGTTGAAACGGAAAGGATTTTTTTTTAAACAGAAGAATGAAAAAGGGCTAATGAAACACCAAAATATTTGGCAAATGGGTAAGAACCTGATAGTATCTGGCTTAAACAAATGTATCCCTTTAAATCAGGAATACTTCCATGCACTCGTAGAGCTCTCAAAAGTCCACAGAATCAGGCTGGGAATTGGACAGATGTATTTCCCATCCAAAACAAGCATTGCAGTCTGGTTGGTGTAAGATACCACTAACAAATATTTGATTCAGAAACAGTTAAGAAAGGAAGAAAGAAATAGAGAGAGAGGGGAAGGGAGAGGAAGAGGGAAACGTGCAGGTAGGCTTTTGATCTTCTCTGGGTCTCTTTGGCCCTTTTCCGAAAAACATTCACATATTCAGTCCTTGCTAACTCCGGAGACAGAGCTATACATTTAAATGGGAGATAGCTGTCTTCTTCGAACGCAGAACTGGAATCAGTTCTGTTATAACCTAGGGCTTGTGCACCTTAGCTAGGAGCGGTATAAAGAGTATCTGTTGATAATGAGCCATATGGCTTAGGGATTTCAAAAGTCCACCATCTTTGAAAACACAAGTGCCAGAGCTGCACCAAAGCAATGACAGTACGATGCAATTCCATTTCAGTGAATTCATAAACAAGATTAGAATTTAGTGTATAATCTCTAAATTTTTAAATAGTTTTGAATGCCACTCTCCATGCTAATAAGAACAAGCTAAATTTAAAAGCCATCCTTTTCTGCCATAACTGTACTCCTAAGGTCAGAAATGTTGAATGTGTAGGGATTACACAAGAATCAAATATTTATATCATTTGTAATGTGGTTGTTATAATAATCTCACTTTTAATGTGTTCTTAATGATTATTACACTTCACTTTTGTAGTCTTTGGTTTCTATCAAACTAAACGTGTCAGAGTGTCAGAGTAAGCATATTTGTGAACTTTCTATTGCCTAAATGAAATGCAGTTGTGTATATTAAATAAAATAATTCAGTGAAATGACTGTTGTTCCTATATGTAAAACTTGAATTTTCTCCCTGAAATCCATCAAAAAATAACTATTACAAGATTTATTATATACAGGAAAAAGAAACGTAATGCTTTTGTGCTGTTCAGTTTAAACTGATTTTGTCTACCCGTTTAATTTAGCTTCTATTAAATGGTCCACAGCATTGATAAATTTTCAACGCATAGGCCAGTGATACACCAAAAAGCCAAATATCAGTGTTTCTAGCCTTGGAAGTCAAAAAGTAATTCAGCCAGACACTTTAATAAATGAAGAAACCCCCAACCTAATTCAAGTGGTGTGACGCAGGTGGTGGCTGCTCAGCTGGCGAGACCCCTGCCTGTGGTGCTAACCTGAATGGTTCAGTTGCATTCGTCTCCCTGTGCCAAGCTGTCCTCTCTTTTCTTGGTTTTAGGTGACAAGTTTTTTCAGGATTATTTCCAAACCAAACTGCTATAGTGAGCTCCAGTCATGGAGTAAGACTTCCTTTGTGGGGTAATACAAATAATAAACCGGAGAGCATAAAGTGTTCAATCCTTACTGCTGTAGAAGGGCAATGCACGCATGGTTTGCTCTGCCCAAATCTGTTCTATGTGTTCATCTGCTGAAAACTGGTACTTTACGGAGAGTTGAAAGCCCTATCTTAGCTGAAATCCTGCGCGGTTGCTTCAGCAATGGGAGTACCACTGTTTTGAGGGTGGCACTGGGGGAAAGCTCCTGCACTGTCCTTCAAAAGACAAACGCGCTCTGTGTTTTAACTTTGCTGGCTGCTGTTCAGCTTTGCCAAGCCTAAGGTCCTGTGCTTATCGCCCTCATCTGTATAAATGCCGTTGAAAGTTCGGCTCCAGCGCGGCAGACCCACAAGAGATGGGAAGGAGAAGGTTCTGCACTGGAGACCTTGCGATTGAGCATGTAGGAAACAAGTCATCTCTCGGCAGGAAAAGGAACGTATTCGGTTGTAATAAAATCACGTTCCTGCCTCTGCTTTGCAAAGTTTCCAGAGAAAGGCGCTGCTCTAAACCCGAGGCGCTCTCCGCCGCACGGCTCTGGCACTGACCGGATTCCTCTCCGCTCCATCAGCTAACTGTCACATTACTATTATTAGGCGATTGCTCTCCATGTGCCAT